GATCAGCTTTTGAAGAATCGAGACCAGGTTGAGAGGGGCTTGTGTAATGTTATGAACCTGGTCAGGGCTTAAACGTGGACTGTTTGGTCAATGTCCAGTGCACTAACCATAAGGCGCTGTTTCTTCCAATAGATTAACAATACTAAGATAGAAAACTGTTAAAATGAAGTTTTGTATAGTAATACTAAAGGCTCCCTTCTCAGCTTTTATTGCCAGGCAGGCTCTGGAGTGGTATTATATTGTGGGGCCTGTACTTGGTTGCATTGTCGTATTTGCTGTAGGCTGGTGCATTTGCAAGTATCGAAGAGCAGGTAAAAACAATAACTGAATAAGAGAGTCAATTATGTTGATTTGCCATACAACCATTTATGGATTCATGAACAATTCAGTTTTAGTGTCATGTAAAACACTTTACTTAAGTACTTAGCCCAAGGAATAAATTGTTGCCTGCTACTATATATAGCTACACCAAATAGCAGAAATAGCAATTTTTAGAGCATGGGTGTTCTTCCTAACAAATGTGTTTGGCAACATGATAGTTGTTGTTATAGTTAAACGCACCACCTCTTTTTTTTAGGGTAGGTAGGCAGGTAGGTAGGTAGATAGGCAAGTAGGTAAAGTCTGCATATGAGCAAGGCCAGAACTTGTCCTGGTTTCTGTAGCATGAAGCATGCAACTAGGAGTATTTCTAACTCCCCCCTGGATGGGATGCTAGTCCATTGCAGCGTTGCCACCGGTAAAGTGTCTTGCCTAAGAACACAACACATTGTCTCCGGCCAGGACTCGAACCCGGACCGCTCGATCCGGAGATGAGCAAACTAACCATGAGGCCACCACGCCTCTACATCTGTCTTAGGGTATATAATATTATTAGCTCTGGCATTTATTCAACCTGGTTTTATTTTGTTTGTTTCTTCTGTTTCTTTCTTTCGTACATATGCGTCTTTCGTTATCTTTCATTGGGTAAATACAGCTGTGGCCGAACTGTAAGTCGATGCCTTATTGTTTTATTTTACTAAAAGTGTGTGGTTACACTTTCTACTTTTTACATCTTCACTGTTTTTGCGTATCCACCAATAACAGCATATGGATAACATTTATCTTCAAAGGGGCACTATCACGAGAATGGTTTAAAAAAGACAAAGTTTAATCCAAAAGATAGTGTCTTGTTAGAAATTTCTATTCTATTACACTGAAGCTTTCAAAGGGTTGTACACATTATAATAAATTCTGAGACTGAAATTCTACCCTAAGTTTGTGTTTTAGAAAAGTCTCAAAAACCTAATCACAATGATTACCTTTCCTTTTCACCAAAAATCTTCTTAGTTTTTCAATTAGGGTGTTATGATGGGACTGTTTCGTGCATGAGTGAAGATATTACCATAAGTTTAAGACTGCATATTTCTCTGAAAATGTAGCAAAATTATCATGAAATACCCCTTTAATCCATCCCATATTTCCAAACATAAGCATATGCATGTATGAACGTGTTTCAAAGTACATTTTAGATTTAATCTGCAGGTGTACATGCACTACTGGGAAATATGGCTCCTATTCATCTTTTTTTTTTATAAGCTTTAAAGTTAATTAACCTTTGTAAGAACTTCAATATAACTAAATGAAGGACAATAATCTATGTGACAGGGTTTCTTCAAGAAGGATCTGTGTAACTAAAAAATTAATCTTCCTTTAAAATTTTTATTGTAATTTTTTGCAACGATTGATAGCTTCAATTTATTCAATGAGGGTGTTTTTGTGTTATTTCCCTGCAGTCATAAAATTCAGTCAGTTCATCTATACAATTTTAATTAGGGCCTATTTTCAGTATATTTGACTGAGGGAAGACTTACAGTAAGCAACATCCCCGCATGAACTACTCTTTGGAGGAATGCATATATTAATGGTACAAACTGAGTAAAAAGTTGTTACTGCAGGGAATAGATTTGAAATAAATATGATGAATAACATTTGATTGTAAAAAAAACTATTGGTGGCTATCTAGATATCAACAATAGGGTAGTCTATGGAATCCCTTTAAATGTGTCACAGTTTGTTTCAATTTATCACAAAATCACTGACTTAACATGATTGGCTGCAATAATGTTTGATTAGTTAACCCTGCCCTGTGACAATGAAGTTTTGAGTTAAATTGTTTAGACCCGATCCAGAGAAAGCAGTTGAGATGCAGTTCCAGAACCCTGAAGCGGATGAATGGGAGATTGCAGTTGACCTTTTACAACTTCAAGAGGTCATTGGCAAGGGGGCATTTGGAGCAGTCTGGAAAGCACTTTTAAATAAACCCGATGGAAAACCTGAAAAGCGGACCGTTGCTGCAAAATGCTTTACACGTAAGATCAAGTAACAGTAACAAGACAAACTTAGATACAGTGCAACCCGGCTTTATATCACGGTCACCTCCTTATGTCCTGGCAAAAATGCCCATACATTTTATTACAAGAAAAGTCCATTAATGCAGGCATCTCATTAATACGGCTAACGGCCTCATATCTGAAATCTCGAACGGAATATATATGTTATTTGCTGACCTTGAGGTCTGTATTGGGAAAACTGTGCCCTAGCTCTTGAGTATGGCTCGAGGCCGCAGGTTCACAGCCATACTCAAGAAAATCATCTAGCCGGAACCATTGAGATTGCAGGATAAACTTAAAAAAAACACACAACCTCGATATGATTATGTGATACTGGTCAGCAGATACCTTGTTTTGACAGCTGTCATATGACCATCACATTGCTGTCCATCGCCATGCTGCGCACCATCGTTGTGGTCGTAGGGAGCACACACTTACAATCCATGCTGCTAGCCATGTTTACCATGAAAAAAGGGATGCGTGGTTTTCTATGCATGCATTTGTTTCTGTTCCTATGGCTATGGTGCTCTGCTTGGTGGCTTTTCAGGCTGCCAGAGCTCCACTATTAAATCTATGTCTCTGACTACAGGCTTACTATCCTCTGTTTGTGTGGTCAAAGGTCCCCAAGTTACTCAGAAATCGTTGTAATTTCTATACAATAAAAACCCACATTTTTGAAGTCTAGGCTGTTGAACTTTGGGGTAGTTATTGACAATTTAGGCCAAGTAGGTTCTTAATTTGTATGAAGAGGATTAGAGTTGTTGATTACCAGAAAAAGTTGCTATCTCAAAGTCACACTCTGGTTAAAATGTTTATCATAATTTAACTGTAACCTACATAAAAGAACCTGCATGATCTTACTTGGCAAAACAGGTCCTTATATTTTTGGGTATAGTATTAAAATGGCAAATCTCTACCAGCAGGTTCTTAAACCACTAGGTTTTTACAAGCGGGGTTTTGCTGTATTAATTAGTTAATCTTGCTAAAATTGACATTTATATACAGCTGGCAGATATAAACAAATGAAGTAAAAACAGCGACTCGTTGCTTTGGTTTGCTTTTTACTTGAAGCAAAGGAGAGTAGTTTTGTCGGTTTAAGTTCTGGACTCTCTTTAGGAAAATATTAATTTACACAAGGCATGCAGCCTCAAAATCGAAAAACATTTAACTTTGAAATTGCAACATAAAACTGCGTACCTCAATTCTTTGTTTTGGGAGCTAAATGAGATCTCCATCCTCACAAAACTGTCCTTGGGATATAGTTTGGGTATTTTACGCTGACAGCTCAAATATCAAATAAGAATGCAAATTTGCTTTGTTACTATGATCTGTGTTGTGTTGTTGTTAGTCCTTTGTAGTCGAAGATGATCATGAAATCAAATATGATGTGTCTGGAGGTGGTTGATGAGGCCAATCTGGGTGTGGAACCCTCTCCCACAGGTTGGGCACCTGTGGGTGGATGTGAGGTGCTGGATGCTTGCTGCTCTGGCCTTGTGCGTCCCTTGCTTTTTCTGTGCTGTGGCAGTTCTGCATTGTTCGGCTGTCCGAGCTTCAGTGGCAACCAGGCTGTGCCAGGTGGGGCGGTCTGAAGTAACGGCCTTTCATGAAGCGGTCTCAATAGAGAAATCCTTCAAACAGATCTTCAGGCGTTCTTTGAAGGGCTTACAGACCGTGCTCTTGCCTTGGCAGAAGTTATCATAGAACAGCTGTTTTGGGATGTGGTTGATAGGCATGCGGGTAATGTGGCCTACCCATTTAACTTGGGCATTACACATGATGGAGATGATGCTGGTGGAGTTTGCTCATTGGAGGACTTCTGTGTCTAGGATTTTATCCTGTCAGCAAATGATGAGTTTCTGGAGACATGTGATGTGAAAGCGATTCAACAGTTTCTTGTGTCATCTGTAGGTGGTCCAGGTTTTGCAGCCATACAGCAGGGTGGTGAAGACTACTGCTCTATAAACATAAAGTTTGGTGGCCATGCTGATTCCTCTCTTCTCTCGGACTGTTTCTCGGAGACTCCCGAAAGTGCTTTTGGCTTTTGAGATTCTATTGTTGATCTCAACATCGATGCTTGCTGAGTGAGTGTGAGTGCTTTTAAGGTACGTGAAGTTCTCAATTGCTTGGGGTTGCTGTCCTTTCACTGTGACGCAAGGGTCCTGGTATGGGATTGAACATCACTTCTGTCATCTTAGTACTGATGGTAAGACCGAAGTTCTTACAGGATGTAGAGATCTTGTCGTCCTCCAGTTGCATCTCTTGTTGGTGTTGAGAGCACATTCATCCACCAAGAGAAGGTCTCTAATGGCAGTTTTCCTCACTTTCCTGATGGCCTGCAGGCATCTGGGGCCCGCTTCTCGAAGGTGCTAAAAAAGTTTTCGCACCCGGAAAGCCGTTGCAAAATCTAAAACCTTATGATTACAGAGCTGTTTTATTCACATATTCTTAATTTGAACAGAGGTTCTCTTCAAACAAGGTGTTTCAGGCGTATAAACCTCTCAGTTTTTAGATACAGATTATCTAAAAATGGCTTTGAAGACCTTAAAAATTTCCGGGGCCTTCGAGAAACGGGCCCCTGGGGTTAAACGGTTTCCCGTCGAACCTGTACCGGATCTTAATGCTGGCATCACAGCCTCTGAATGCATGGGTTTGCATGGTCGAAAACATCGTGCTGAACAGTGTTGGGGCAAGCATGTAGCCTGGTTTGACGCCGTTGGTTACTGGGAGGAAGTTTGTTTGTTAGCGACCGATGTGAGGGCAGCCAATCTTGGACATGATCTTCCAGAGCCCTTCTCTGCTGACTTTGTCGAAGGCCTTAGTCAGGTTCTTGAAGGTGGTGAAGAGATCTCGTAGTTGCTCCTTGCACTTTTCCTCAACCTGCGCAGAAACCACACTGACTCTCAGGAAGGAGGCCCCACTCTAGGTGGTGTAGCTGGCAGTTCAGCAGCGCACGGGCCAAGACCTTGCTGGCAATGGACAGGAGGGAGATTCTGTGGTAGTTGCTGCAGGGCAGGCGGTTCTCCTTGCGTTTGTAGATGTGGGCGATTGTGGCATCCCTAAAGTTCTGAGGGAGCTTTTTTTTTTCCCACATGGGCTGGAAGAGGGTGATACCACCTGCATTGTACACCTCAGCAGGGATGGCGTCCGATCCTGGGGTTTTCCTAGTGGACATTTGCTTGATGGCTTTCTCATCTGCCTTAATACTGAGTCAAGCATCTTGCATGTTGTCAAGCTTGTTGCGAATGGGTCTGCAGATGCTGGTGAATGTGGCCTTTTTATGGGCATGAGGGGTGGTGATTCTGGCATGTTTGAAAGGGTCGACGTTTTTCTTCCAACAGTTCCTGGTCATCTGTATTCAAGACATGAAGGATCATCGCAGTTATATGCACAACTTAAGAAGCTGTGAAATTGAAGAAAAAAAAA